ATTCATTCCCTTTTGGACAGGTCAGCTCATCATCTGGAAAGACAAGAGACTTGGGGGACATCTGCAGATTCTCAGATTGATGTTGGGCCAAACTGAGACTTCTCTGTTTTAATATCTTAATATAGGGAGTTGAACTCCCTGCTCACTGCTGTTGAACAGAGTATGAGGGGAATACAACCAAGACATCTCTAAAGGGTTTCACTTTGCTTGGTGTTGAAGTGGTTCATGAGCTTCTCCAGAAATAGTTTAATAATTCTTGTTGTAATTGTTCTTATTCAGCACTGATTAGCCAGAAGTAGGACTCAAATTTGGTTTTAGAAGCAGGTGGCCTAGGGCGCCTGGGTGGCTCAGATGGTTAAGCGTCTGCCTTCAGCTCAGGTCATGATCCCAGGGTCCTGGGATCGAGCCCCACATCGGGCTCCTGGCTCAGCGGGGAGCCTGCTTCTCCCTCTCCCTCTGCCTCTCTCCCTGCTCATGCTCTCTCTCTCTCTCTGTCTCAAATGAATAAATAAAACCTTTAAAAAAAAGAAGCAGGTGGCCTAATCCTAGAAGGATCCCAAGTGTTCTTTTTTCAATGAGGAGTTGCATTTCCCCTCCTTGTATTCCTTTCCTTTTTTCTGTCCCATCTTGGAACATGGACCAGTCACCTTCAGAGTACCCCTCTACCTGATCTGCACTCTCTGTTTACTGGACTGTTTGTGCCTTGAAGTTGACAACCTTCCAGGGTGGGAATTTTGGCTGCTTGGCAGTGGTGTCAGATGTCTCCTTGGTTGTGAAATTACTCAGCCTGATTACTATGAGCAGCATCATGGGCACCTTTCCCCTGAAGGCCTCGGGCAGCTTTTTCACTCTTTTGAAGAAGATCTAGACAATTGAATCTCATTTGCCAGGCAGGCTGAGCCAGGAGGCAGAACACCAGAAACTTTTCTGTTCTGGCTTCGTAGGAAGCAGTGGAGTTGAATAGCTACAAGCACAGATTTTTGAGTCACATGAACCTGGATTTGATTCTCATTTCCACCACTTGTTAGCTGGTGGGTAGATCTACTTTCTCAGTCTCATTTTCATCTTCAAAATGGGGATAATTTTGGGGGTGCCTGGGTGGCTCAGTCGTTAAGTGTCTGCCTTCGGCTCAGGTCATGATCCCAGGGTCCTGGGATCGAACTCTGCATCGGGCTCCCTGCTCCGTGGGAAGCCTACTTCTCCCTCTCCCACTCCCCTTGCTTGTGTTCCCTCTCTTGCTGTCTCTCTCTGTCAAAAAATAAATCTTTAAAAAAAACCAAAAAGCAAAATGGGGATAATTTTGAAGAGAGAAGGTATATAAGGTGCTTAGCACATGGCATGGCACAAGGTAATAAATAGTAGCTACTATTATTGTTATTTTTATCTCTTCTAAAAGGAGGATGAATATTTCACTCATTTGTTTAAAAAAGGGGAGTCTCTTCCTTTCTCTGATAACTATGCATACCTTGGAGAAAGCTGAAACCCTCGGAAATTAAAAGAGCTATCTGAAATTGCACCATACATAAATAACAACCACTAGTTATCTTGTTATCCTGAATTTTTATCCCTTTTAGTGTTTAGTAATCAAAGATAGAGAAGGCTTGCCTTTGAAGTTTTTGATATTTACTTAGATCTTAAGAAATAAAACTGAGGGACGCCTGGGTGGCTCAGTCATTAAGTGTCTGCCTTCGGCTCAGGTCATGATCTCACGGTTCTGGGATCGAGTCCTGCATCAGACTCCTTGCTCGGTGGGGAGCCTGCTTCTCCCTCTGTCTGCTGCTCCCCCTGCTTTGCTCTCTCAATCTCTCTCTCTCTGACATATAAATAAAATCTGGAAGGAAGGAAGGAAGGAAGGAAAGAAAAAAGAAAAGAAAGGAAGAAAGAAAACTGAACTGGGACGCCTGAGTGGCTCAGTTGGTTAAGCGTCCGACTCTTGATTTCAGCTCAGGTCATGATTTCAGGGTGGTGGGATTGAGCCCTGCATCGAGCCCCACATCGGGCTCCACACTCACTGTGGAGTCTGCTTATCCCTCTCCCTCTGCTCCTGCCCCCATTTGTGTGTTTGTGCTGTCTCTCTCTCTTTCTAAAATAAATAAATCTTAAAAAAAAAATAAACTGAACTTAAAGTAACTTACAGTATTAAGAACCCTGGACTGGGACCCAGGACTAAAAAACTAGAATAATCATATCTTAGTTATATTTTACACATTTACTGTATTCCATGCATTGTACAATATATTTATATGCATTAAATGAGATAATTTATGTAAACTACTGAGCACGGTGCCTGACACATTAGTATATGCTCAATAAATGTTAGCTGCTGTTATTTCTTTTTAAAATATAATTTATTTTTTAATTCTTTAACACCTATCTTACAGGTGATAAAATACAGGCTTTGAAAAATTTAGTATCTATCACACAGCCATTAAGTTGCCCAACTGGAATCTAAATCCTATTGAGAAGCCCATTTTTTTTCACCTAGTGCCCTCAACTTCTAGTCCTGGATCCAATACTAACTGGCTTTGTAGCATTTTACAAATTACTTAACCTTTCTAAATCTTTTTTTTTTTTTTTAAGATTTTATTTACTCATTTGAGAACGAGAGAGAGACAGAGAGAACACAATCGGGGAAAGGTAGAGGGAGAGAGAGAAGCAGACTCCCTGCTGAGCTGGGAGCCCAACAAGGGGCTCAGCCCCAGAACCTGGAGATCATGACCTGAGCTGAAGGCAGAGGCTTAACGATCTGAGCCACCCAGGCATCCCAGCCTTTCTAAACTTTAATTATCTCATTTGTAAATTTTTAAAAAAGGTATTATTTATTTGACAGAGAGAGAGAGAGAGCACAAGTAGGCAGAGCGGCAAGGCAGGCAGAGGGAGAGGGAAAAGCAGGCTCCCCGCTGAGCCGGGAGCCCGATGTGGGTCTCGATCCCAGGACCCTGGGATCATGACCTGAGCCGAAGGTAGACGCTTAACTGACTGAGCCACCCAGGCACCCCTCATTTGTAAATTATTTTTAGGGCCTATCTTAGCCATAATATCCTAGGATTTGGAGGATTTTCTAGAATGGCCAGTTGAAAATTAGGGTTTATTTTTCTAGAGCACTGTGACTCAAAGTATAATCTATAAACCATTTTAGGTTCACAGATTGCTGCTTGGTACATGATGGGATGTATGCAGAAATTGAGGGAAAGCATTTAGAAATTTTTATAACATCTTGACAGTAATTTTATATATTGTTGATTTTAATAATAAAATGGAGTTTATATTATGTCTTTGTTTTTAAAATTTCATTCTCTAGCAGTTCATTTTATTATAGTTTATAAAATGATGGGTCTGCAATGGATTGACATAAAGGAAAAAAAATAAATTGGCCCTAACCACAGACTGTTTGAGAAAGCACTATTATAGAGGACCATCTGAACATCTTAACAGGATTTTGAATTGAAATTCCAGGGCTGGTTTTTTGGTTTTTGTTTTTTGTTTTTTTTTTAAACGTGTTTACAAAGAGTTACCTCTTTTTTTTTTTTTTTAGAGAGCGAGCGAGAGAGAAACAGCATGAGGGGGGAGGGGGTCAGAGGGAGAAGCAGGCTCCCCGCTGAGCCGGGAGCCCGATGCGGGACTTGATCCCAGGACCCTGGGATCATGACCTGAGCCAAAGGCAGTCGCTTAACCATCTGAGCCACCCAGGTGCCCACAAAGAGTTACCTCTTAAATCAGAAGTGTCCTCACTAGTGGCACCCTGCTAGTAGCACAGTCTCCCTGCCATGTCTGTCCCGCCCACTACCACCACCAAAAGCTGCAGGGGGTGTTCCTGTTAGAGTGTCCCTGATGCTCTTAGCAATCAGCAGTTGAACCTAGAGAGCAAAACTCCAATTCTGCCTAGACCAAACTCTTGGAAAAATTAATTTTATATATCACGATTCTCTTTTTTTGTAGGGGTTATGGGAGTGAGGGTAATAGTGAAGGTTCCTGGTGGGCTAATTAAAAACTCTAGCTCTGGGGCATCTGGCAGGCTCAGTTGGTAGAGTGTGTGGCTCTTGATCTCAGGGTTGTGAGTTCAAGCCCCACACAGAGTATAGAGAGTACTTAAAAATAAAATCTTTTTTAAAAAAAGTCCAGCTCTTCTAGTTTGCCATCACTAAGTCTCCATAAAGCATTGATTCACAGAATAGAAGTGCCAGAAAGAACGTATTTTAGCAGTCATAGATTCTAACTACCTAATTTGACAGATGAGCTTGAGTGTCATATGCCTGGCTATTGGTAGTAGTGAGAAGTAGTGAGACTAATGATCCCTTGTCCATTGACTGGATTATATACTGTGCAAGGGCCACATCCAGAGCCTCCAGAGAGTTCTCTATGGGACTTTGTCCAAGCCTTTATATGATATCACTCCTGCCAACTTCAGGCCTCTCATGCCATAGTGAGCTCTTTCACCGTATGAAACAGATTAACAAATAAAATCTACCAATATATTAAAAGAATAATATACCGAGACTAAGTGAGTTTTCATCCTAGGAATGCAAGGATGATTCAGTATCTGAAAACCAATTAATCTGCCATATTAACATTCTAAAGAAGGAAAACCACTTGATCATATCAATTGATGACAAAAAGGCATTTGATAACATTGAAATCCACTCATGATAATGAACATTTACAAAAAAACTTAGGACTAACATCATACTTTACAGTGAAACACTGAATACATTTACCCTAAAATTGACAGCAAGGAAAGATGTCTGCTTTCATAGTACTGGAAGTCCCAGCCTGTACAGTGAGTCAAGAAAAGGAAATAAAAGGCATGTAAATTGGAAAGGAAGAAATAAAACTCACTGTTTGCAGATAACATAATTGTCCGTGCAGAAAACCCCAAGGAATCTACAAAAACAAAAACAAAAAATCCTAGAACTAGTGAGTTTAGTAAGGTCACAGGATATAAGGTCAACACACAAAAATCAGTCACATTTTGTCTCTTTGATCTTGGCCGTACAGATGAGATGATGAAGGGGATAGCATTTGGAAAGCGTCTCAGTAAGACGCACACATTGTGTTGCCACTGTGCCTCTGAGGCCTGCCACCTTCAGAAGTCAACCTATGGCAAATGTGGCAATCCTGCCAAGCAGAAGAGAAGTAAAACTAGAGTGCCAAGGCTAAAAGACGAAATACCAGGGCACCTAGTGGTGCCATCAGTTAAGCGATTCTTGGTTTTGGCTCAGGTCGTGATCTTGGGGTGGTGGAATCGAGCCCTCCATCTGGCTCTACACTCAGTGTGGAGTCTACCTTGGTTTCTCTCTCGCTCTCCTTCTGCCACTCCCCCCTAGTGCGTGCTCTCTCTCTCTCTCTCAAATAAATAAATCTTAAAAAAACAGAAACGGAATCCCACTGGGACTGGTCAAATGAGGCACCTAAAAATTGTATACTGCAGATTCAGGCATGGATTCTGTGAAGGAACAACACTTAAGCCCAAGAGGGCAGCTGTTGCAGCATCCAGTTCATCTTAATGGATTTCAATGATTGGTCACACAATAAATGTTCTGATTTAAAACAACAGAAAATCAGTCACATTTCTATATATTAAAAATGAACTTCTAGAAACTGAAATTGAAACACAATACCATTTACAAACATACCAAATAAAATATACATCTAACAAAACATACAGAATCTAAAAAGATATAGAGAGACTATACCATGTCCATGGATTGGTAGACACAACTTAGTAAAGATGGCATTTCTTCCCAAACTAATCTATAGACTCAGTGCAACTCCTATCAAATTCCCAGCAAGATTTTTGTAAATATAGACAAATTTATGTTGAAATAGAAAGGCAAAGGAACTAGAATGCTGAAAGCAGTATTGAAAAATAATAAAGTTGGAGGGATCACACTACCTGATTTTAAGACTTAGAATATAGTTAATCAAGACAGTTTGCTTTCAGAGAGTAAGATACACAGATCAATGGAACAGAATAGAGAACCCAGAATATACTTATAAAAATAAGGTCAGTTAGGGGCGCCTGGGTGGCTCAGTTGGTTAAGCAACTGCCTTTGGCTCGGGTCATGATCCTAGGGTCCTAGGATCAAGCCCCGCTTCAGTCTCCTTGCTCAGCGGGGAGCCTGCTTCTCCCTCTCCCTCTACCTGCTACTCCACCTGCTTGTGCTCTCTCTATCAAATAAATAAATTTAAAAATCTTAAAAAAAAATTTTTTTTAAATAAGGTCAGTTAATGATTGGTGCAGAGTGCAATGACAATTCAGTGAAGAAAGAATTTGTTTCAATAAATGTGGTTGGAACAAATGGACATCCATATGCAAAAAGAAAAAGAATCTCCATGCAAACCTCACACATTATAGAAAAATTAACTCAAAATAGATCACAGATGTAAACAAAAAGCATAAAGCTGTGTATCTTTTAGAGGAAAACATAGGAAAAATCTTCATGGCCTGGGATTAGGCAAAGAGTATTAGATATGACACCAAAAACATAATGCACAAAAGAAAAAAAATTGATACACCAGACGTCACCAAAGTAAAAATGTCTGTTCTATGAGAGATACCGTGAAGAGATTGAAAAGACAAGCTACAGACTGGGAGAAAACATTTGTAAATCATTGTATTGCCAATAAAAGACCGAATCCAGAAAAAATAAATAAGTCTCTAAACTCAACAGTAAGAAAACAAACAATTCAATTTAAAAAATGGGGTAAAGACTTGAACAGACACAGACACGTCGACCAAAAAGGATACATGGATGGCAAATAAGCACATGAAAAAGATGTTCAGTGTCACTAGCCATTAAAGAAATGCAAATCTAAACCACGTGGAGATACCACTACCTACCTGTTAGGATGGCTTAAATAAAAATACTGAAAATACCAAGTACCAGACAGGATGTGGAGAAACCAGAACTCTCATTGCTGGTGGGAATGCAAAGTGATACGGAAACTCTGGAAAACAGTTTGGCAGTTTCTTATAAAGCTAAACGTACACTTACCCTTTGACCCAGAAATCCCACTCCTGGGTGTTTATCCCAGAGAAATGCAAACCATTGTTCTTCACACAAAAACCTGTACACAAATGTTTATAGCAGCTTTACTCAAAATTGCCTCAAACTGGAGAAGCCAAATGTCCTTCAACTAGTGAATGGATAAACTGTGGTACATACACGCAATGGAATACTACACAACAATAAAAAGGGAACAAACTGTTGAGCGGCAGTTTAGGTGAAGGCATCATGCTGAGTGAAAGAAGCCAGTCTCAAAAGTAACATCCTGTATGATTTCATTTTATGACCTTCTTGATAAAACTGTGGTGATGGAGAATACATCAGTGGTTGACAGGGGTTTGAGTGGGGAGGAGGGTGTGACTACAAAGAGATAAGAGGGAGTTTTCTGGGGCGATGAAAGTGTTCTGTATTCCAACTGTCACACTGTCACAGTGATTACAGGAATCTATATATGTGTTAAAATTTATAGAACACTATACCAAAAAGAGTTGGTTTTACCAAATTAAAAAATGCACATGGGGGCATCTGGGTGGCTCAGTTGGTTAAGCGACTGCCTTCGGCTCAGGTCATGATCCCAGGGTCCTGGGATCAAGCCCGCATCAGGCTCTCTGCTCCGCGGGAAGCCTGCTTCTCCCTCTCCCTCTCCCCCTGCTTGTGTTCCCTCTCTCACTGTCTCTCTCTCTGCCAAATAAATAAATAAAAATCTTTATTAAAAAAAAGAAAGAAAAGACATCTTATTTAAAAAAAAATTAGGGCGCCTGGGTGGCTCAGTTGGTTAAGCGACTGCCTTCAGCTCAGGTCATGATCCCAGGGTCCTTGGATCAAGT